AGTTTTAAATTATTTTTCAGGCCATGCCTAAGCGCAAGACTGTAGCCCGCGGTCACTATCACCGCCGGGGCAGGCACACTTTCAATGCCGAGGCCGGTCCTTCTTATGACCATGACCCTGCACAGGAGGAGCCATTAAAGCCTATTCCACCTCAGTCACCTTCTCATGAGGCTGAGGCTGATCATATTCCATCTGCTTCTGAGGCTCAGCCTGCGTTTACACCATTTCCATCTCCATCACAGGTTAAGGCTGAGCATTTACCATTACCATCTCCACCACACTAGCCAGCTCAGCCAGCTCGAGAGCGTGACAGGCCCGCGCCTAGATATGCACAGATGACAGTGGACCATGAGTCAGTTTTTAACACAGATTTCTTCTCCAGATCGGTGCTGACCTGATCAGCTTATGATGATATTATCCAGAAGGGCTTTGTAGCTATTCTTGCCCCAGTTATTGAGCAAGTCTACCCGCGGCTAGTATGGATGTTCTTCCAAAACCTCCGACCGTCCCCGTGTACCACGGCAGAGCTGGTCACTACCATAGATGGCCATTAGATTTCTATTACTGTGGACACACTAGCCAGATCACGCCATTGTCCACACCGATGCCCTCCGGAGTTACAGGAGCTTTATCCGAGGCTATACAGGCCTTCTTATGCCGACATGGCAGTGTTCTTGATAGGTTACCATGCCAATGGCGAGACTTTCGCCACCCACACTTATCTTCCAGATGACCTATGGTTCTTTGATTCCGTTCTCTTTTGGAACATATATATGGACGGGCACAAGATTCAGCGGCGAGGAGACTAACTGACAGCCCTCTACGCATTTTATACAGGCCACTGGGTATCTATTCCCGCGCTCATCTAGAGCATGATGAAGAAGCTCTTCGATGAGTATATCAGCAAGGAGAAGCCCAGAAGGGCTAAGTCTCTCCCATTTGGCCACCTCATCATCCAGATACTGATTGATCACTGTTATCCTTTCCATCCTCGGGAGCACCCTGAGAGAGGTTCCTGTCACTTCTTGAAGAAACACTGGGACAAGAGTTATAACGCTATTATTACCTGATTACAGGAGGCTGCAGCGCAGGTGGCAGAGGACTTAGATTTAGACGATTTAGAGGCTGAGGAGCCAGCACCAGCAGTAGCAGACCCGGTAGAGGACGATGCACCAGTTGATCCGGCTGTCGAGCGTATGGATATTGATTTAGAGCGACCTGCAGATGACGCAAAGCAACACTCTCCAGCTGGGTCGCCAGTACATGAGGAGGAGTAGACTTAGGATCTTTCTTCTGATTCATTCGTACCTGAGGCTCCTAATTATACCCCCGACTTTGGAGAGCGTCTTCAGGCTCTGGAGGATGCAGTGGTTGCTATCAGAGCTGATACTGCTGCCATTCGAGCCGATGTTGTGGCCTACCGAGCTGATTTTGCTACATTCCACACGGATGTCATGACTACACTTTGAGATTTATCTAGGGATATCCGCGGAGCCCGTCTTGCCTCGTCCACCTGAGATTCCCAATTTTTTCTATCTTTTTATACTACACCTCTGTGATCTATACTTCATTTTTGTCACTGTATATTATTTGCAGCCGGATATGTCGGCTTTGCTCTTTTGATGTACTCTATACTTTATTTTTTTTATATATGTTTTTGCTATGGATGTCATTTATCATGTTCTTATATCTATCTGTTTGACTCCATCAGGTGCATCACAGTGACTACAGTGAGAGATAATGTTACACAATTTTCAGGACCACCCTTATATCTCTCTCCCTACTTTATCTGTTTTATCCCATTTACACTTGCATGTCTACTGTGCACTGATTATCCCTTTTGTTATCTAATGAATTTATCCGAGTGCCAAATTTCAGGACCACAGTTAATCCCAAGTTTGGGGGGGCCATGCCACCCACTTTGGATACTTCAGTCCCAGCCATTCTTTGCCTTAATTGCACCGGTATACTCTTTCCTTTTGTTCTCTTTGCACATTGAGGACATTGTGCCGTTTAAGTTTGGGGGTAAAGGTGTATGTTACAGTGTTTGTTTTTAAATTCAAAATTTTGAGCATGACTTATGTATTTGAGAGATTTTCTATGATTGGTCCATATTAGCGATGATTTTGATCTTTTGAGGACTATATTGCTTAAAAGTTAAAAATTGCTTTGACTTGAGAGTCCAATACTCTTTGTATACCTTGTGGAAGCCATTTAGGAGTAAATTTTTCGAAAGATTGATATATTGTTTGCACTTGTGGTCTACATCATCTTGATTTTGTGATTGTTTTAAGATTTATTCTAGGATTCTACACTAGCACAGACGCACACTAGCATTCATTTGTGGGGTACATGCTTTGTTGATTATTGAGTTGGTTATATCCCAATTGAAAGCTTTTATTTTTGATAAAGGTGGATAACAACCCCTTTTCACTAAGTAGTCGGGATTCTAGCCTCATCAAGTACTGAACTTCTCGTGCCGAAAAGTGGAGGGCCCAAACTCTAGGTTAATAATTGAACATATTCATAAAAATAAAAAAATAAAAAATAAAAAAAAAGCAATAAAAAAGTGAGGACTTCTTCCAAAAGGTGAGAAGTGGGAAATGATTAGATGAAGGCTGTCTAGATTTGTAGCCTAGTTGATTTGAGCTTGTAAGTTCGTAGGGGTGTTTGAACACCTAGTGCCCTAAATTCGTCTAGTTTGGGAGTCATTGACCTAATGCTCGATCTCATGAATCACTAGAAAGCTTAATAGATCAACACATTGCACCATGCTTCCATCTTTGATCCTATAAAATAAAAAAAAATAAAAAAATTGAGTGAAATGAATAAGCGCACCTAGAATAATAAAACTTTAATAAAAGGTCCACTTTTTGTCTTGATGATCGGTACTAGATTTGTGTGCTAGTTTGAGGGTAAGGATGTGATTAATTCTTTAGTTGGCTAAGATAGTAACATATTTGATGCCGGTCCACTCAAAAAGAATTCTAGAGTTGTTTTGATTTACATGATCATTTTCTTGATGTGTGGAGGACCATACTTGCTTGATATTGAAATTTTGGGAGATTGCTTAGAAATGTTTGAAACATTGCATACTTGAGGTAGTTTTCTCCCAATGCTTGTTTGCAATATTGGTGTCTCTTTTGAAAGAATGAGCTTAATGTTTGTGGGTATCATTTCTGGAAACCCTCACGAGACTTCACTCGTCCACTAGAGGTAACCTAGGGGTTTAAAAGGCTTGTTGCATGTGCTAAGTGCAATCGTGTTCCCTACGAAAGTGGCGTTATCCATTTATTGCTTTCTAGTTATAGTTGTTTAGTTGTTCATTTCATTCCTTTATTTTCTAGTTCATTGTAAGGGACTAGCAATATTTAAGTTTAGGGGTGTGATGAGCGCTGAAAAGTGCGTATTTAAACCCCTTAAGCTTAGGCATTCTAATACCCTTATCTATCTTACTTTACTGTTTTAGATTGATTTCGTATTATTTCTATTTTTAGGCACTTATCCAAAAAATAAGCTAACTCAGCCAAATAAGAGCATAAATGAAGCAATTTTGGGATGAATCAAAGAAAGGAGCCAAGTGGAAGCAAAAGGAAGAAAAAGGTGGAAATTAACATCTTCGATTGATCTCAGATCAAAGTTTGATTGATCCAACATGATCGATCTCAGCACTTCAAGATGGATCAAAGCCATGATGACATTTTCAGAGATCTCAAAGTTCAATCGATCCAACATCATTCTTCAATCGATCGAATTACCTTGTCCTTATCCAAATGATGGATCTTATCTAGTTGTATCATCCTACCAACCACTTTTGTCCTTTTCCCAAAAATATCTTTGCAATATCTCAGATTTGTTTTTATCCAAAAGGCACCGCCATTGAGGATCGATGTAACTTCAGTTCGATAGATCTCAGCCATGTTCGATTGATCCAAGTCCAAGGTTCGATCGATCGAACTTCCTCCAGTGCGAAAAAGTTAAATTTCCAGCCCATTGAAAGCTGTCCTTATCCAATCATTGGGGAATATTTTGTGCACGACCCCAGCTCATTTTGTGTGTCACTTAACCTACCTATATATAGAATATGATGCACTTTTTAAGAGATATACTTAGAGGATCCATCTAAGAGAATAGAGGCTATTCTTAGGGAGGAAGAAAGGAGGAGGAGACTAGAGGCACAAGCTTGGGAGCTCTTCATCAACCAAGGAGTAGATTACTTCTATGGAGTTTGCCCTTAAGGGTTGGAGAAGCATTACCATGAGTGGTTAGACATCCTCTTGGGGCTAGAGTTAGCACTACAAGAAATGTGGGAATTTACGACATAGTATTTACGGGGCTTCTTTATTTTGCCTCGTGATTACTACCATTTACAGAGTTTTTAAAAGAATCCTCGTTATAGGACATGCTTTCATGGGGATTTAGTAAAATCCTCGTAGAAAAATATTTTTACGGTGTATTAAAAAGCTCGTGAATATTTTGATATATTTACGGCGTATTTGTACACCTTTAACGGGATAAATGTTTCTTGTTGATAAAACACTCATTTAAAACCTTTTTTTTTTCCCCGTAAATAACCAATTAATAAAATTAGTTAAAAAATATATATATAAAAATGAACTTAAGTTCTTTTACGGTGTATTGAAGGTGCTGTGAATAAATTTCACATTTAAGGCACCTTTTTTGCCCCGTAGATAAGCCAAAAAAAATTTAAAGTCAAAAAAAATTTCCCCCCTCGGTGCCATTGGCGGGAAATTTAGCGCCAATTTTTTTTTACGGTGTATTAAGGAGCCCGTGAATAAATTTCACATTTAAGACGACTTTTTTACCATGTAGATAAGTTTCATATTTAAGGAGGCTTTTTTTTCCCGTAGATAAGCAATACTATTTTACAAAATAAAATTTCCTTAGCGCCAATAAATAATTTTTTTTAATAGAAAACATAATGAAAAATTAGTCTCACCTTACCTTATGAAACGATGTAGTATTTGTCAACCGTCCAACTCTATACAGCTCTGCTCTCTCTGCTCTCTCTCTCTCTCGTAAGCCCTAGATTTCTCTCTCTGCTCTCTCTCTCTCGCGTTGAAGCTCGCTTTCTCTCTCTGCTCTCTCTCTCTCACGTCTAAGCCCTAGCTCTCTCTCTCTGCTCTCTCTCTCTCTCGTCTAACCCCTAGCTTTCTCTCTCGGCTCTCTCTGTCGCGCCGAAGCCCTAGCTTTGTCTCTCTGCTCTCTATCTTTAGATGAAAAAGATGTGAACAAGATGATGTTGTAGATTCGATATAGTCTCCCTATTCGAGTTATCTCTCTGGTTCGCCTCTCTATTCGAGTTCTCTCTCTGGTTTGGACACGAGAAACAGTCATTTGGAGCCACAATTTCTTCGAATTTCAGACGGCTATACACATCAATTTGGAGCAAAAAATTAGGGTTCGTCTATCTCTTTCTATATATGTATCTATTAGTTTTGATTTTTTGATTAAGAGTGTTTTATTGAATTTAATTATTATTTTTTTTTGGAGACTAAATCTCCTTGTGACTATTGTAACTTATACGGTGCTAAATAATCAATTTGTTTTTTTTTGTTGTTGTGAAAATCCCTTATTTTCCAGTTTATTTTTATTTTTATTTTTTATTATTTTATTTTTTTTTATCCATATTAGATACAGAATCATCCAGTTCTTTGATTTCCCTGCATTCTGGTTTCTGTGTCGTATTTTTTTTCCCCACTCCAAATTCTTGAGTGAAATGCCCCAAATATGTTGTTGGAATTGGAACAAACGAACATGCAATTACCCTTATAATTAAGTTCCAAGCTAGTAGTGTGAGTGGTATCTGGTTTTAGTGTCCAACCTAAATGTCTAGGATTCCAGCCCCACGTGGTTTCTGTAATAAATAAAAACATGTAGGGAGTAGGCTACATAAAGCTTATTCAATCATTTATTTGGGCAATGCCATATTAAATATGTGTCTGCCATATTTCCTCATAAATCCAAGCCTTGCAATTTCTTTTTCTTCTTGTTGTTCCTATAGTGTGTCAACATAAGCAACATAATTCTCTAGTCTGTCTTAGTCATTGATCTTTATTGTATATGGTGAAACTTTATCACCCAACTTTTGCTTATCATACTATTCCTTACCATCTGTGCTTTCTCAAGGATGCATAAATCTCAAATTTTATTTTTTCTTGTCTAAACAGACTTATATCTCATAATTTTCATTTCAGCCCAGCTCATTCTGTGAACATATAAATTCTTGATTCTTAAACATTTCGTACTTGCTTTCTCTTGACATTGATAATTTTTCATACTAAGCTATGCATAATCTGTTATTTTCAGTATTTTTTAACAGGAATTTATTGTCCTGTCAACTCTTTATTTTTCCACTCTTTTTTTTTGTGTCATTTACATTTTTACTTTTTTCATAGAGTCTAAGCAAATGTGGTATCTAAATCTATAATTGTTTGTAGTTGTACGGCTTATGGGATGTGCTGCTTCACACATTACATTAGAGTGTGCTTTACAAACTCATCCCAACATTACCCTTATTGGAGAAGAGGTACTTCTATTCGTTTATTTGTTCACTTCCAAATACATTGTTGGCTTAGCTACACTTAAGTCTTAAAAAACTTAAGCATTTGCCAGTGATTAGGACTTCTTAAATGCTGTTATCAACAATTATGTCTTCCCATCATTGTCGATAGTTATGTTTTTGGGTTGACTTGTAGGCAAAACTACTTAAAAAATTCAAGTAGTTACTAATTTTTTTAAAAAATGAGTAAAATCTCAAGAGTGGTAATTTGTCAAGAAACAAGGTTCTACCATATTAGGTTCCAACTAAGCTCACGACCTTTTTTATTTTTTATTTTTATGCAAATACATATTATAGGGTTTCAAAATTGCAAGTGAAATTGTAGATTTATTGCAAGTGAAATTGCAGATTTGGAAGAACTTAGGAACTAATGAAAAGTTCTGCTTGTTTGTTGTTCTTTCATTTGCTTATTTTTGGTGTCAGTGTGCAGATGTAGTCCACTTTCCATGGTTGCTTTCACTTTCTTGAACAGTTATTACCAACTAAGGATAGGTTAGTAAGTTCTTCTTTTTCCTCTTTCCTTGGGTAAAGTTGTTGTCTTTTGTTGTACCAAGTACCTTATCTATATGTCATTGTGTTCCTGCTTTATATGTTTATGAGATTCCAGATTTTAATTTTTTTTTCTCTTGGTTATGTATAATGATATATTTATGCAGTCTTCTGTATCTATATAGCATAATATATGGAATCCTGAACAGGAAGAGGTGATATCACTTGGTCTAAGCCCTTGCTATGAAAATTTGTCCATGGAAGTAAGAACATGTATTATATTTTTGTTTTCCTAAACAAATTATTTAATAAAGCAAGATATTTGAATATTCTATTTAGAGAGTTCTGCCTCTTCCCTTCAGTTATGTCCCTGAGAGGCTTCAGCCCAATCCTTCTCAAGTCAATTTGTGCCAAACCCTTGTATAAGTAAGGATATAAACAATGGAGCTTAAATGAAGCAGCAAGCAGCATATAGCAGACTCAGTTTTGCTGCTTCTATGATACCTCAAATCAGAGGGTATAAATGACAATTTACAATGTCTCAGGCCTTGTACATCCTCTTATAAACTTGTATCTTCTTCACACAGAAGCTTAAATGATAAGCAAATCAATAATTAAATTAAATTCAGTTCCAAAATCTGCTCACAACAGGTTTCTGCAGAACCTAAACAAGCTGAGGGTAAAAATATAATTTCGAGGTTAGACTTCCTTGGATATAGATCCCACACCACTGAATTAACATATTACACTTGCTCAAATCGTAATATCTTAGTTTATAGCAAGGTAATATCAAATTACAGATCAAAGTGAGATTCACAGGTTGATTTCTAGAGCAGCACTGTTCTTAGGGACTGAAGGGTCATTTCTCAGCTACATTATTTTGTTTTTGATTTTCTCAGTCATGTAATATCAAATTACCATTACACAGATAAAGAACACAGCAATGAAACAGTTGAATTTCAGTCACAGCACTCACAGCACACACTCAGCAGGCTTTTTAAACTGAAAACCTTATTTAGTGAGGTTTATGAGGTCAAAACAAGAACAAACCAATTTTCTGGTTTAAGAAATATATGAAAATTATTCAGGTCAATTAGTCATTCATTAACTTATTATTATATTTCTTAAATTAGTCATACGATTTGATTTTTTATGTATTTGTTGGCATTATATTTTTGAAATATTTTTTCCTGACAGGATTGATTATCACCAGTTCATTAGGAGCAGAAGAATCAGAATTTCTATGATTCCAGTCTACAACAAAGGTCAAATACTAAGCTTCTTTTATGATTGTACAATTTTAATGCTTTTTATACTCATACTTAGGGGGGTCATGTGCCTTTAAGTGACCAATTTTGCGATATATCTTGAACTTTATTACCTTATTGGTACATCGGCTCGTGTGGAGGCCATTTTTATTTCTTGTTTTAAAATGTTGAAAGCATGGGAGTATGGGATCATCGTATGTGGAGGTTTTGATTGATTGTTGTGGAGGAGAAGTTGTTAATATGTTGTTTATACCTTTACTTAAATTGGAGAACAATATTTGTAGGTAAATTGGAGAATGACTTCTCCATATTCTAATTATTTATGACCCTATACTAATAAGCAGACATATACTACAACCAAATCCTCTGGTCCAACATGGATGGCAAATGTGGGTAAAAATCATCTATAGTTTATACTATCCACTTGTTATACAAAAGATTGAAATTGTAAACAACAATTTGTATGAGAGGCTCCTTAGCACTAAGAAAGGGAAATACAATAGAAACTATATATCAGTTTTAAATCTGTCAAACAATTTAAAAATTAAGATTAAAACAATGTGAAAACAATTTAAGAGGTTAAGAACTGAAGCAATAATAAACAAGGAATTATCTCTAGGAGGTAATTAATACGTACCCGAAATAACACTTGGGGCTCAATCAACTACAAATACATGGAAAAATTCAGAACTATTAAAAAGTTCAAAACTATCAATCCATGGAAAAATTAAATTTAATGTGAACACAAATACAAATAGAAAAAAAAATATTTTTAATAATCTCTAATTAAAAAATGATGTTAAACCCAAGCTTGCATCAATTCTGCTCAAATTAGCACCAAATAACATAGTATCCAAACATCAATTATTAGATTACATTCATCCAATAATAGAAGATTAATCATTGATCTGTTGGTGCTAATTATTTAACCGGCTGCCAAGTTCTTTCATCAAGTTCTTGTTCAGCCCTCCTCCTTTCATCAATGCTCACTCCTTTCATCAAGTATCCAAACATCAATGCTCACTCCATTCATCAAGTTCTTGTTCAGCCCTCCTCCTTTCAGCCTCCAACTTTGTATTTGCCTTCCTCCTATGATCCGAAGACGAAGATGGAGCCTTCTTTGCATGACCAAACCAACAGAAATATGTACCCTTTGTTGTTCCAAGACAATTCTCCAATATCTCTGCTCGTCCACCGGGACTGGACTACTAGCATCCAAATTAACAGATGCCTATGATGATTGACTAGACATTCAGTACTAATATATATAAATATAAGTTTATATATAAAGACATAAATCAACTGGACAAAAAGCTTATGACAAAATTAATAAAGTATCCATCCTGTCTACCAAGCATATATGCCATCATATTACAAGCAATTATGTAGCTTGACGATATTTATTCTTGGGAACTTGGAAGCTGCCATTCCAAATACTAATAGGAAATAAACATGACAGAAACCAATAATTGTTGCGGACATGAGACAAAAAAACACCTACCTTCTTATCTCATTCCCATGACATCGTGAGAAAACAATAACGTCTGCCCCAAGCCTCATAGTACTTGTCTTAAAACCATTTCCATCTGGGAAAAAATAAACAATAATAGTAGTGAAGAAAACTTATAATAACATCCAATCAATGATATCATTAAATTGTGATTTTTCCTTCTTCTATTTTTTTTTTTTTTTTTAGCAAGGGAAAGAGCAGCTCACATTGACCAATAGTGTTTGCCAATTTGCTTTTTGCAGAATATCCAAGAGACATACAGTGACGCATTTTGTCAGGAGTCATTCCTCCACCATTATCTGCGATAAAAAAAAATAATAATAAGAATAATAAATAAATAAAAACAAGTCCACTGAGCAAGAATACTAATACAACTTCTCATGCAATGAACTGAAGAATCAGTAAAGTTTTGAAAATATATGAAATTTTCACAATATTAGACCAGTTCCCATGATGCACTTTTGCTAATTAACCTTGAAAAATTCTCAAAACACCTTATTTCCCACATGCACCAACATCACAAAATAAAGTAACTGAAACACATAAAATGTCAAAACAACTCAGACATAAAAGTTGAACTAAACAGAGAATAGGTGATGTGCCATACAACAAATATAATGCTATGAGAAACAATGACACAGTGTAAGGTCATTAGCCAGTGTGGTCTCCATTAATCAAGAGTACTACGAGAGGCACACTTGGTATAGAAGAAACTTTTGCCATTATATGTACAACATAACTGCTCTCAAACTCAAACATGTATTCTTACACTTATTAGTCTAAGCTTGTAAAACAATAACAGATTGCATAATTATCAAAATGGAACCCAACCCCTCCACCCAATAGTGTTAATACCTGTGCCTCCAAACTCACCTAACATGGCATGACAATAGCATGAGGAATAGGTCAGATGCCCCATGTCAAAACATATGGGAATGAAAGAAGAATAAGAGGATTACATCCACTAGAACTCTTCAACATTAGGGTTTTTAGTTTTGTAAAAAAACTTCTGTACATGGGTCAAAATAATTTTTGTAATCTAAAAATAACTATACCAAGTGCATTTGACTAAGTAAATAATTTAGCACAACTATTAATCACATAATCAACTGTATAAGATGCAGATATAACAAAAGTTGAGCTGCAAAAAAATGTTGTTAGGCCTCTGCATCACAAAATCAGCATTCTTAAGACATTTCAAATTCAAATATGTATTAATATCAAAAGTGAGAATATTATATAACATGGTAAGTAGCATACTATTTTCCTCCTCTGGTTCAATAAAGAAAAAGAAAGCCTAGAGAAACCTTTAAATACCACCACAAGAAAAAATTGAACAGGGAGTGACATACCTTCAACTAGCAACATTTTAGTCAAAAATTAATTTACTCCCTCGATTTCACTTGAAATTGGACTGCCCAAAATCAACCACTGAATAAAATGAAATGAGATTTTGAAAAGAAATACAGCTAAAGTAACAAGAGTATCAAATAAAGACTTTTTTATTTTTTTTTCATGCTAATAATCAAAATTGGATTATCAGAGAGGGTTGGCCCGAAGCAATAACTTATAATTCTACAAATTGCAATTGAATAATAATAACTACAATAATAGATCAGCTGATTCTAACACAGTATAGAAAAAATCCCATCCCTAGTTCCAAATTCCTATTCCAACTTAAATAACAACTAAGAACTCCAAAAACAACACTCAAAATCAATATACTCCAAACAATATATTAATAATCCAGAATTAATAGTCAATATCAAATTACTTGGGAAGATCACAAATTTACTATTACAGAAGGGTGTGGTCCATCAAGACAAGTGCATTTTGTGCAGGGGCCTTAGGAGATACTCCCCACCTTTTCTTTGATTGCCTTTTGTCTCAGAAAATCTTTGCTACTGTTACTATCTATTTTAAATTACCATGGCCTATTAACAATAATATCTACTCTGCGATGATCTATCACTTATGGTAGGAGAAGAACAATAGGATGTTTGCCAATGTTTGTGATATTGAAAGGGGATTAATTCAAAAATTAGCAAGTCGTATCAATGGAGAATTCGGAGAATTTTTCAATCTAATGGAATCAGTACAAAACCTACTTTGAATTCTTGGAACGGAAAAAAATGAATTCATATCATTCAGAAGGTTCTAGAGGATATCAAATTAAAAAAAATTATTGCAAGGGATTTTGATGTAATGAATTAGTAATTACTGCTACTTGATGTTTTTTTCGTTGAGTTGCCCTTAAGTTGTCAGTAATGGCTTTCCTTTGTTTTGTTCTTGTTTGTAGGATGTTGTATGCCCCTCTTGATTCTGAATATTCCTTCTTTTAATATATAGACAAATTATAAATAATAAATAAATAAATAAATCTGTTAAGGAGTGCCCTTATTTTGCAGCTTTACGTGGGAAAAATGAGTGTTTGAATTGAAAATGGTACTGAAAACTCACAATTGCAACAAAAGATAATTGCTTAGAAACATCAAATTAAGAGAACAATAATCCCAATGGGAAGATCATATAGAATTTCCTATAATCATGATAAACTAGAATAAACACAACATCATTCACTCAAATGAAATTAATAAGCATTCAAATCACCCAAAGGAGTACAGAACACAAAATTCACTATTTTTCTTAAGGGTTATTCACAAAAAATAGAAGACAAAACACGCAGAGGCATCCAAATAAAAATACACACAAAAATCCTTCAACAGGTTAGAAAGATTACCTTCAAAAAGTTGGAGAATCAGACGATTACCTACAAAGTTTCAGATTTGCTTATAATCGTTGCACCAAAAACCTACAATGTTTCAGATTTGTTTCAGAATGTTTCAGATTTGCTTCAGAATGTTTTAGATTTGCTCATAATCATGAGATAAAGAGACTACATATTATGATATTGTAGTGTTCATGAATATAAAGAGATTATGATATTGTCTGTTCTCATACATCCTTACAAAAATCTAGTATTCAATTAAGAAAAATTATCTGCTTGAAATATTTTTGACAGATCTAAGGAAAAAATTCTTAGCAAAATGTTTGTGTTTGATTCATAAATGATAATCTTGTTATTTCCCTTTTTTCGTAGCATTCTGAATTTAAGACTTGTGTGATGCAGCTACTTTCTTGGATTTTGTACCGTGGATTTTGCAGCTACTTTCATGGATTTTGTACAGTGAGGTGGTTTTTTGACAAGTGCAGACTGAAACTCAAGTGCTAGAAGGTTTATCAATTTTTCAACAGAAGTGTTAAGAAATTGATGATTTTCTTGACAAATGGATGTACTTCCTGTTTTGGAACATTGATAAATGATGAATTGTAAAAATGTTTTAACTCTTTTGATATATTTAATTGGATATGTATGCTTTTTGAATTGAATTATAGCTGAAAGTGATGTGAATTATAGGTAGTGGTTGATTAACTGGAAGGTGCATTATTTATAAAATATATATATATATATATATATTATATCTACGGGGAGCTTGAAATACCGTAAATAAGTGAAAATTCTCCTAAATAATTTTTCTACGACGTACATGGCAAGTCGTGAGAATGGTTTATATTATTTACGGGTACCTAAAATTTGCCGTAGAAAAGTTTTCTACGGCATGCTTCAATGCCTCGTGAGATTATTTACGGGTAGTTAAAATTCGCCTTAGAAAAATTTTATACGGCATACTTCTGTACCTCGTCAGATTATTTACGGGTAGTTACAACTTGCTGTAGAAAACTTTTTTACGGTAGGCGATGGTGTCTCGTGAGTTTTCTACGGGTAGTTACAATTTGCCGTAGAAACCTTTTCTACGGCATGCCTCGGCACCTCATAGGTTAATTAAATAAAATTTAATATATATAAACGAAATTATTTTCTACGGTAAATCTATTGTTTTTTTACGAGGTAGATTTTTTCCCGTAAAAAAAATTGAGTATTTACGGAACTCTCATACACGAGTGCCTAGAATGCGCCTTGAATAGGTTTCCACGGCATTTTTGGCCCCTCGTAGAATCCCTTTTTCTTGTAGTGTAGCCCCAAACATGTTTTCTACATCTTGATTTTGTGTATTATTGAGGGATTAGTGTTGTAATACATGTTTTGGCACTTATATATATATAGATCTTGTTTATTCAATGATTTATGTGGTTTAATACTTCCAATTGATCATTTCATTCTATCCATATGTCTATGTATGCTAGAATAGATGTTTATGTGTTTGCCTCTATTTCTTGTGTTATTGATGCATGTCTATGTGTATTAATGCCATAGATCTAGAGATTGTCAAAACATAGTGCTTAATGGAATGCTCTTGTAATTTTCTTGATGGTTCATGCTCATTTCTTGATGGATTGTGCTGCTCCTTTAGCTTAATTAGTTTAATTTCATGTCATTAGCTTAATTGTAGTGTAGTGGTAGTATAGTTGTTAGATAGGAGGACAATCCATGCTTGTTGTTTGATGTTCCATACTTTTGAATACAAGCAGCATATGTCTCTAACCTTGTGGTGTATTTGGCTTGTGAGCTTAATGAAAGGATTAATGACTTGCTAGATATATTGTGTTTTTCACATGCTATTTAGACAATATATACTTAATTGTTAGATATATTGTGCTTTTCATATGTTGCTTAGACAATATATACTTAATTGGTCACCCTTGCTAATTGAATCAACCAAACACACAAACACATCAATATTGCAACACACATTTCTCTCATTAGTCACTTGTTAAGGGTGTTGAAAAGTATTGTTTGGTGGTGACCTCTAAACCCCAAGATATCTCTCTTTTACTTACTCTTTATTGCATTCAATTATTTAGTTTAATTTGCTCTCTAGTTTAATCAACCAACCAATTATTTGTTTGATCACTCGACCTACTAACCCTAATAGTGATTCCACAACCAAATTCGACTCCAATCCCTTGGGACGATCCCTACTCGCCCTAACTATATTTTTAGTGAAGGTAGTAGTGGCTTTTATAAATATAAAACTTGGCCCTCGCCTTAATGCACACTCTTAAGCTTATGGGGTAGGACGGCAAAAACCACCAGCCATCTTGAACCGGTTCCCAAATTCCTAAACCGGTTCAAGAGTAAAAAGAACCTTCGAAATTATTTCTGGCCTTTTAAAACCGGTTCCCACTTTCCTGAACCGGTTCAAGACTCATGATAGGTTATGGAAACTTACCTTTCTTATTCTGTTCGATTCCTTTTTGGACTAGACTTCTTTCTAAATCCTATGCACGATATTTTCTATATTTTCAGAGGGATTAGGACTTTCTAAACTCTATATAAACCTTGTTAGTCTTCTAGGTTTATTCATGACTTTAGAGAAAATCAATTCTATATTTTGAGAATGCTTTTTAGAGAGAGGAAATTCAGAAAATCAAATCTGATTATTCTAAATTTATTTATGAGAGAACACACATATATTCATGAGTGATTTAGTTGTGTTGTTCTCTATCTCATCAGAATTGGAGCTATATTGAAGATTCAGATATTCTGAATGAAGAGTAGGATTTAATTCTTCTACATCGAGTTCAGATCTTGAAGAATAGAAATAAAGCGATCACACTTTGAAAGGGTTAGAGCATTTGAGGAGTGTTATCTGATCTACCTGTTACTCTTCTACAAATATCAAGCATAAACCTGAGGTCAAGTTGCTGTTGGACGGGGAGTTGCAAAGCCAGAGAATTGTCAGCAATTGGTATTTGGTAGAACGATAGGGTGTGAGCTAGAGTCAAAGTTCGATGTACTTTGTTTAAAATATAGTGGATTGGTTTACTTTGGACTGAATAGTCCACGAGGTTTTTTCTATGCAAACAGTTGACGTATTTTATCAACTAGGGTTTCCTCGCTAAAAATCCTGGTACAATCTCTCTAAACTTTTACTTGTTTTACTTTACAGTATTTAAATTTGTGATTGTGGATGTTTAAATTGACCATATTGCTTAAGTAATTTAATCAATCACAAATTGGGCAAGTTGACCTAATAATTAAATCTAGGTCATTAAAGGAGTTAATCACAAATAAAATCAACTAACTGTTTCTGCACCCTACGTAACTCTATTTTCACAATTTGGTATCAGAGTGGGATACTCGATATACATAGTAGATCATATTTGTCGATTTATTGTTGATTTTTGTATCATGTCTGAAAATTCATCTGTTGTTGATGTGTTGCCTTTTCCTCCTGTTTTTGATTCTGTCACAAGCATGCAAATTGAGTGTCCAAGTTCAAAAAGGATTTTGAAAATTTGTTAGAGAAATTGAATCTTGCGGAACTTGATAGAGATATTTATAAGTTAGAAGTTTCTGTCTCTAATAAAAATTTGGAAGAAATTGGTTATAAGAATTTGAATCTTCTTCATAAGATTGAATTTCTGGAAAATGAGCTTAAGAAGGTAAATTTGTTTAATAAATCACTTGAACTTAAAATTGATAATTTGAGTAGTGAATTTGTTAAATCAAAATAATATTTTCAAAAATTTGATATTAACACTTGCAAAATTGATAAGTTGAAAGGAATGGTTGAGAATAATAGTCATAACAAAGAATTGGCTTCAATTTCAAAGGATTTGTATTTTCAAAAATTGAAAGATGTTTTTGTAAAAGTTGACAACCAAACCTTGTGTTATTAATAGTTCTCCCAGACTTATTTTAACATGTCATTTTTGTGGTGACAACGGGCATATCAAGTTTAAGTGTCAAAAAAGAAAATTTGAACTAGGAAAAAAATTGAAAAATCTAGAGAGTTTAAATTTAAGGAAGAAGATGATTAGGACTGTTGAGCCTTGTGATACTTTGCCTAGAACAATAGGGAAATCATTACATAATGAATCTAAAATTGTTTGGGTAAAGAAAGAGAATTTCAAATGCCTTGCCATGCACACTGCACTTAGAGCACTTGGTCCATGTGGTTGGTACTTTGATAGTGGTTGCTCTAGGCATATGATAGGGGATAGAACATTGTTTACCACTTTTAAGAAATACTCAGTTGGTACTATTATTTTTAGTGATGGTAATGCTTCTACTGTAAGTGGTAAATGTAAGATCAAATTTCCAGAAATTGGGAATTAAAAAATGTTCTATATGTTAAAAGTTTAGCTGCTAATCTGTTGAGTATTAGTCAAATCTGTAATGAGGAGTTTCAAGTCAATTTTACTCAACAAGAGTGTTTTGTAACTAATGAAAAAGGTGAATGCATCTTGAATGGAACTGGAACTTCTGATAACTGTTATGTTGTGTTTTCAGATCCTTCACTAATGTATTTTTCTGCAGTTACTGATGATACAGTTTTATGGCATAAAAGACTTTGACATGTGAATTTTAATGATTTAGTGAATTTGTCTAATAATGATCTATTTCGAGGTTTGCCTAAATTGAGGATGCCTAAGAATGAAATATGTGGTCCATGTCAATTAGGAAAACAAACTAGAGTATCACATAAGAGACTTATTCATAAAGTCACTTTTTGACCTTTAGAATTGATTCATATGGATTTGATGGGTCGCATAACACCTGATAGCATTGGAGGAAAAAGATATATGTTTATTATGGTTGATGATTTTTCTAGATTTACTTTTGTTGTATATTTGAGAGAAAAATCTGATACTTTTGTGAAATTCAGGTCTATTTGTCAATTTATTCAAAATGAGAAGGGATATCGAATTAATTGGATTAGAAATGACAATAGAGGTGAATTTGAACCTAAGGAATTTATTGAATATTATGATAAGAATGGCATTAAGTATGAATTTTCAGCACCTAAAACACCACAACAGAATGGTGTAATGGAAAGGAAAAATAAGACAATTGCTGGTATGGCACGTACTATGCTTCATAAGAATAAAATTGCAAGTCACTTTTGGGCTGAATCAGTACATACTATTTGTCATATCCTAAATATAGTTTATCTTAGGCCTGTAACTAAAAAAATTTCATATGAATTGTGGTGTGATAGAAAGCCCATTGTTAAATACTTTAGAGTCTTTGAAAGTAAATGTTATATCCTTAGAAATAGGAAACACTTGGAAAAATTTGACTCTAGAAATGATGAATGTGTGTTTTTGGGTTATTCATAAACAAGTCGGGCTTATAGGGTTTTTAATCTTAGAAACAAAATGGTCATAGAGTTTATAAATGTTGTATTTGATGATACAAAATCTATGATAAGCTCTTCTCAACTTGATGAAGAATAAACTAATTTCGAAATTGCAGGAGAAAGAATAGAACTTACAATTCATAAGGAAGGAAGAGTTGAGAATTTGGTGAAGAGGTTGAAGAAGATGATGATGAGGAATTAGAGGTCATCACTAATGAACCTATAGGAATTCCTGCACCATTCTTAGATATTCCCACATCTAGTAGTTCTAGAGTTCGATCG